ACAGAAGCTAATCTGGTTGAGTTTCTTATATACGCAAAATTTTAGATTAAAAATAGGATTTTTTCCGAAGCTCTCAGTTCTATACAAAATATACGTATTGAAAATTTAATGTTCTGTTCGAACGTGAAGTAGCGTACTGTAGATTCGAATAAAAAGAGTATAGTGATTTTGTATCTTTACGATAATTTTGTGCTAATGGCTTCATTATTACTATGTCATCATATTGTTTAATTTAAAACTAATTATCTTGCAGAACTATTTTCATCATTATAATAATTTGACTTACTTGTTGATGTTGCTGTTGTAACAGTCGTTGTTGATGTTGATAGGGTGGTTGTATGTGCTAATGATCATATTTTTATTGTATAGAAATAAACTAATATTATAAATAAATGATAGAATACTTACGTAAGACAAAGGCAAGTATAGAAGCAATAGCTACACTTATTAAAAGGGCAAAAATGATGATCAAGCAAAGGCAACACGCAAGTTGACTGTGAGAACATGTTCTGTAATTAAAAATTATAAACATGATCATATAAATGTTCAATATAATCACTGTGATACATTCTTCAAGACTACAGTTCAATATTTTGAGTTACTTACATTATGAACTTCTTTTTGGTATTTGAGTTTCTTATAGTTTTTCTCCGTGTATTTTCACTATCTTCAAATCTATTATCTTTCATAGATTTCATCTGTGTGCTCGTTGACTAGATAATAAGATATAAAGTGAAATAAACACAAATAAACTTACCGATGTAAAAGCAGAATTATTATCATTAGTTTTCCTATAAATCGGTGAAACTTTGCTTGGGCGTAACTGAGTGTTACGAGAATTCATGGGGATGCATGTGGACTGCATGTTTTTAACTGCTACGTTCGTTAAAATTACTTGGCTAATAAATTCAATTGTAGTATTATTATGAAACCTTCTTTTGTCAATAAAAAAATGAATCGAATGTCCTATTTTAGAAACTTCTATTTGCATATTTATAAGGTTAGAAAAAAAAGTACATTCAGAAGCCAATAACAGTTATCCATTTCATATGAGATTAGTTTTATAAGAATAGAATTTTTTTGTATGATTCACATAGAGAAAACTCCCATATTTTTTTTATATTCATATCATCAACATATGTGCTCATGTAGAGTGAAATCTCATAAAAATCTATTTACTGACATGAAATCATTTTTTTGCAAACAAAACAAATCGAACTATAGAAACTAAGAATTATATTTTGAAGGTAAGAGTTTCTTTAATGTCTTCAACCAAATTCACATCTACGCATACTCTCATCCTAAAGAAGCATTAAGTTATTATCAACAAGCATACTTGAACTTTGTCATAGCGACAATGAAATATCTAAAGTGGATCTTATTTTTGTTAAAATATGCGGTAATATGACTGTGACTTATCTTGAAGTGGAAGATTTAGAACTTTTTCTTCAATATTTTAAACGTTCTTTAAATCTTGAAATAAAGTAACAGTCAGAAAAACCGTGATGAACTTTCTTTGATTCGTTTATTGGATAATATTTCGAACATAATTCAAGAACAAGGTCATTATACAGAATCTTTACATAATTATGAACAAATCCTCGAAATTCTTCAGAAAACTCTTCCATGTACACATCCGTATATAAGTAGAATACATTAAACGAATGGCTTAGATTTTATTGGAACAGAATCATTTTGAAGAAGCTTTAAATCTTATAAAAACATGTCCTGCTGCACAAATTGATGCATTACAACAAAACAGTTTTGATGATGCACTCCAATATTTTTATCAAGTCCTTACTATTTATCTGAAATATTATTTTAGTGATCATCTAATGCTTTCAGTTATTTACAATAATATAGAAATTGTTTATCAGAAAATAGGTGATTATCAACAAGTTTTGAAGTATATTGAAAAAGCATTCAATATCGATACCACATGTTTGCCAGTCAATCATGTCGATCTTGCTCTAACATATACAAATATGTGTCTTATTTTGACACATCTTAAACTATACGATAAAGCAATACTTTACTATCAACAAGCAATTGAAATACGAAATAAACATTTTCCATCACAGTATCCATCTTTTATTCAGTTCAAACTTAATGCTTTCGAAGAAGCGCTAAAATCATCAAAAAAGTCTTTGAATATTAACCTTGAATTGTTTGGCACGAAACATGCTAATAGTATGAGTGCTTATATACAATTTTGGACATATACCACTAGAACTGGTCGTTTCAAGGAAGCTCTTCAAGGTGCAATTAAAACTCTAGAAATTTCTATAGAAATATTTGGAATGAGTCATTCAATTAGTTGTAAATGCCAAAATACAATCGAATTCATATGTAGCAAAATGTCCGATGAGACATAGTCTTAAACATTCGAAATATTATTTTTTCTTTCAATAAAGATATAAACATAATTTTTCTCTTCTTTTTTTATGAATTATATGTTCCATATTGTCGAGGATGTGAGTGTACCTGTAAGAGAAATGACAACTGAACTGTTACTCATACACACAAGACATTCAAGTTCATAAATCCGATATTGAATTCAATTAGACATGCATCAAACGCAAACAGTTTAGGTTTGGGTGCGTGTAAGTTGATTTCTGATTGGTTTTCAAGTTCTTTCATGTAACGTTTTTTGCTTTATAGAAACTTCTTTTGTATACTTAATTGTTCTTCTGACTAAATTGAATAAAATGTTTTATATTTGACATAAATAAATTTTATATTATTGTCGTTTAATTGAACATAAGTTTTATTACAATGGAACAATGATTATATTTATTTGTCTAAATTTTTCTTTTCATTTATTAGCACAACTATCGATCTTCGAAAACTGAACTAAGTTCTTTTATTAATTTATGAATATATATATATATATATATATGAAAAGAATATGAGATAAATTCTTCCGAAATTATACGTATATCTTTATCATATATCAGTTCTGATTTTATTTGTTAATTAGTGTAATTTTAAATTGTTTTATATTTTTAACGATCTGTTTATAATAATATAATTGTATTCATATGATAGTAGCATTAAATATTACATTAGTTGACAATGGTAGAAAAAAAAATTTCCTATTCTTGATCGAAAAATAAATCTTGATTAAAAAGATTAGCTTTGTTCAATTTCACTCGTAATTGTTATTTGTCTTGTTTTAATTAATATTCGACAAAATCAAATAGCATAAAAACTAATAGTTAATTCATGAAATTGAGAGCAATTATTCTATTCCGAAAAGTTACACATTCCCGAATTACTGGTATTCGATTCCAAATGGCAAGACTATACAGAAATATGTAACTTTTAGGAATTGAAAGTGTTCTTTTTAATATGTATAAGGATGATCAACAATACGCTGAAATATTCTGTATCAATATAAAATCAAATAAATTATAAAGAAAAGATATTGAACTTAAACATGTTTGTGTAAGACATAAAACGTTCACTAAAACTAACTATTTTCAAAATTATGATAATTTCATTGTAAAAGATTGTGTCAAAAACTTTTAATGATATATTTCAAATAACTATATTTCATCTGACAATATCATATTCAGTTTGTTTTATTGTAATTAATATTTCTAATTTAATTTATATGTATATTTCAATCTTAATTTTAGTTTTTGGATTTTGTTATTGATTATTATGATATAGATATGAAATACTTTTGACAAATGGAAGATTTTACATTTTTAAAGATCGAAGAAAACGATTTTATTTCACACAGTTTCAAAAATATATACATTTGTTTATTTTTATCCTAATAGAAAGAAAAGACAAAAATAATGATTCATAGTAAGGTTAACGTCATTTGTTTGACTCATGTAAACAAAGATTAGTGGGGAAAAGCCAAGTCATTTTATTTCGCATCTCTGAAAGAAAAAAAAACCAAGATTATTACATTCTCCAAATTACTTCCTCTCGTAAGTATATATAAATATCTATATATCATTGACTTACACATTCGAAAATTTTGTAATTGAATCAAAATATATCATTAAAAAAGATTTTTTGTTCTTTTATTAGGAATAAGTCTGACAATGATGGCTATTCGAACAAATTCTCGTTTTTTTGTTAATGAAAATCGTGTATTTCGACAAGTATTTACATCAATAACACAATATTTGAATGAACCATTAGTTTCTTTTGAAGAAGCATGTCAGCCATTAAGATTTCTTCTCGGTAGAGAATTAGAAGAAAATATGAATATTTCAAAATCACATTCAACATTTCCAGCTGATAATTTAACTATCGATGAATCAGCATCGATTTATTTATTTACTATGGAATGGCAAATAAAAGAAGATAGTTTATATGCTAAACTTAATCAAACATTACGAGAAGGTAATCAAATAAATTTGCGTGTATGGCGTAAATATTTAAAATTATTATTAACTGCTTTTTTAAAATTACCGTAAGTTAATTTTCCTTTTTAAATTCAATTTTTTTTAAAAAAAAAATATTTCTTTATATAGTTCACTTGAAAATCAAACAATATGGCGAGTTGTACGAGCAAATGTATCTAATGATTACAATCAAAATGATGAAATAACTTGGTCAGGATTTAGTTCTTGTACAAGTTCTATTGAAGTTCTTGGATCACCAGCATATTTAGGTCAAACAGGTACACGAACATTATTTTCAATTGAATCATCATGTGGAAAATCGATTCATGCACATTCATATTTTTCTGGTGAAAAAGAAATTCTTTTACCACCTGGAACAAAATTTAAAGTTATTAGTAAAATGAATTTAAGTAATAATTTTTGCATAATTCATTTACAAGAAATATCATCACCCTTTCCAAAACCAATTCCACCAATGAATATTAATCATTCAAAACATTCGTTAAAAAAAACTATTAAACGACCATTTAAAAAACTATATGAAAAAGTTCGAATTACAGATGATCATATTCGACAGATGTTCACATTATTATGTCGGGGTAAAATTTTTTAAAAGGAAATTAGAAATATTTTATTCATTGTTTTTTCTTCAATAGAACAACGAATGTTTGGTATCGAAGGTTTTTATAATCAACTAAATTCTGTAAGGGATAATCCAAATAATGCAATTATTCTTAGATCTATGAATGATTCAATTAATGGAACATATGATCTTATTGGTTCATTTTCTGCTAATACTATGTTTGGAGATATAAATGTTACACTTCGTATTAATGAATCAACACTTTCTTATGTTCAAATTTCAACACTTACTATATCTGGTAAGACTAGAATTTCAATTATTGGATCAATGAATTCGATTGTTATGTCTTCAATGCATGAATCGAATTCAGGTAATATTCGTATTCAATATCCAGAGAATTGGAATGGATTTATTCAATGGCATACTATTAATGGGAATATAAATATTGATAATAATATCAATTTAATTGAAAATCAAAGAAATTCTTTCGAAGGAATCAGAGGAAACGGTCATAATGTAATTAATATTAAAACACTTAGTGGAAATGGAAAATTGACTTTTTAAGAAAAGAATTTTTTATCCTATGTGATGAATATCGTCGTTGTATTTATATTCTAATCTTTTATTTGTATTACTGATTTTTATGTTGATAATCTTATAAATGTTTAAAGAAGTGAAGTTTTATTGTAATAACATATTTATGTAGAAAAAATGTCTTTTTTAATAGAATAAGAAAAACATTAATTTATAATTCAATATTGAAAAAACAGTTTCTTCTTTTTCCTGTGATTATTCCCTCGATTGAGGGCAAAATTTCATCCAGTTATATCTTCCTGACTCTCCATTCTTTCTTCAAAAAGATTAAGAGTTCGTCCTCGATCTTCTTGTTTACTTAGAGAAATATCAAAGAAAGTTTGTTGACAATAATTAGTTATCACGAAGATCGAATGTATTGAGAACAAACCAATAGATAGAGAGAATTTTCTTCCCTTATGCGTATAAGATATCAGTACGGCAAACATTGATCCCTTTCCTTGAGCAAATTTGTAATCAGGAAACAGTGGCGAAAGCAGGATTTTGAGTAGGGAGAGTGGCAAGACTGAATTTCTCTAAGAAGAGAAACTATAAGATAAAAAACCAACATAAAACCAAAAAACCCTGTAAAGTTCTATGCCATCTGTCTCCACTACTGTTTATTAGCGAATTTAGTAATGAATTTTTTCGAAAATATTAATTTTAAATCTTCTAACTTCCGAGATGACACCTTACACATTTAAACCGATATATGGATACTTGGAAAAAAAAACATTTTGTTTTTCTTTCATCTTTTAAAATAAGAAAGTAACAAATCGAAGAAACGTTTATGCGCTTATAGATGGTGAAAAACATCCAAGAATTTAAAATATTTGTCTTGCTCCACTTTTACTCCTGAATTAAAGTTTATACAACAAAATTGAATTAATATAACATTCAACTTTAAAATTTAGTTCTATTTCAATAAATATTAAGATTTAGTATTTCATCCGAATTTGAATATATCGATATCTTCATATTTATACAATTCTTAACTGTCTAATGAAAATACTTCGATAATATTTTTAAAAAAAAAGAAAGTTTCTTTTTCGTCTTTTCATTTGAAAAAATACTAATTTATACTGAATACATAAACATTTCAATATAAGTCGATTTGAAAATCTTTCAAATAAAATTCTTTATCAGATATTTGATTATTTTCATATTTTTCAATCATACAAAATATATTTTCATTTAAATCAAATATTTCATAATCTTTTTCTTTCATCGAACAATTTAATTAAAGTTAATTTATTAAATTTATCAAGATTATTTTCAATTCAATTACAAAATATCAAATTTGATCTATTTGAAGAATTTATTTGGATTCTTTTCTAACTTTACGAGTAAATATAAAGAGTCAACTTATGAACTTTTCTCTTCAATATAAAAGCATATAGGTAAATAAGATATTCTGAAAATAAATCATAAACTTTGTTTTTTTTTCTTATTTTTAAAGGAGAAAAAAATCTGAAATTAAATTATATTAATAATCAATGTAAACATTCAGATTTAATTGAAAATAATTTCAGTTTGTTTCGTTATATTTATATTAGAGATGCGATAGACTATTGAAGAAATCTATTCAGAATTATTTCTCGATCAATTTCTATTCAAAATGTAATTCAAGTTATTTTTTTCGAAAATCTTTCATATAATACTTAGGGGTACCCAAAAGTAGTGGCGGAGGTACCTTGTTTTTGTACAGAAGACTTCAAGATATTTTCTCTTTTTATGAGATGATAGAGAAAACGAAGCTCTATTTTTCTGTGTTATTTCATCTCTATCCAGCTAGTACCATAATAATAAAATTTCGATAGGAACTATTTTTGTTGAAAACTTAACTAATAGGTGAGGCAGATTAAATGATAACGTTTTGTACTTCAATTTTCAATCACTTAATACTTTGTAATAAAAAACAAAATATATCAGACGATGCAGTGTGAAAAGCTCTGCAATTTATAAACAACAGCTAATTTTATATATGAGATATGACAACAGGAACTTCTCTTCGTGTAGAAAAAATGATCTTTTCGGAGCAGTCGCACAGAATTTTGCTTTTTTTGGACACAAGACGAGCACAATTAAAATAAGCGGTTTTA